TGAGGGTGTCACGAAAGCTGTGGTATTCTCAATGTTTCTGGACTTATGACAGGTTTAAATAACCGAACTGATGGGCTACTGCGTGTGTAGTTTCCAGCATATTTCGGCTTACGGTTAATCTGTGTCAGTGGAAGGCAGGGCCCAAAGCATATGACGGGAAGTTAGCGCCGTAAGTTATTTCCAGAACTTTCTGTTCTCATCATTTTCGGCCCCATGCGCAGTGGGTTCCATCCGCTTTTCCTCCCGGGTTTAAATCGACAGAAGCTTGAACCTCCCTCCGCTGTTGAATAAAGAATATGTGGAGCTTAAACTCCACGTCCCATATAAGCTGTCATGATATGGTGATTAACTATAGAGACGATTGTAATAATGGCCAAGCAGGCGATTTTGAACCATGCCGTGACCTTGCGTTAAGACGCTTCATCGATCCCCAAGGTCGCCACCTGTACTGGTCTGACGTCACTAATAGCAAGCCGTGAAATGTCCAGCGGTGGGGAGTGCCACTGAGGTAGGATCTTATTCATGGGAAAGGAAATGTTTCGGGGGAAAAAAAAGAGTAAGACTTCAGAGGAAACCCCACTGGGTACAAAATGTACGATTCATTTTTCTCTACGGCGTTTGTTAGAGGTACTCGTATTTTTCTTCGCTCCGAAGAAGATACATCGAGATAAGCCCTAGACATGCATATACTCGCTTGTAGTCTTCACGTAAAAGGTCCCATATTTTTGTTACATTTGAAAAAATGGAACGTTTCGATAAATATCAGTAATCCTCCAGAACTTCAGATTTCATGAAAATAAGAAGTTCTGGGAATAATGAATCGCCTACTTTTCTTTGATACGACACGGGTCGATTAAAAAACGACTCGTCCAACAATTTTTCTGTTCTTGCATGTGCATTTGTTGCTGTAATAACGTTTTTACAGAGCCGTTGCCTATCAACGGTAGGGAGATAAATATAGAGACAAATAGACTGATAGGAGAGATTTATGAGATACGCCTTTGGGATTGTCTCAGGTGCCATGATATACATATCAAGTTTCATAAAGATTGATTCCGGCATTCAGGAGTTGATGGGGAGAGCTTTACAGGCACACAGACAGCATGGTGATCTCATAAGCCTACTTTTATTTTCTTTCAGAATAAGGAAAGTGGTTGATAAGTTAAGAGATTATTGATTTGTTTCGAACGGACAGAAAAGAGGACAGGAGGTGGGGGGACGTAACGACGCTAAGCAAGTACGTGTAGCGTCTGTCTGCTTGTGCAGAATCTTGAAAGACCAAGTTCGTAATCTTTACAGTGAATATAAAATGCAATTGAAAGGAAGGACAATATTGTGCAGCACAAAAAGGGATTGTCTGTAAAGCTGGGGAAACTTCTGGAATGAAAACAAATAAGGCGTTTTCATTCGTGTTGATGATAACGACCACACTATCAATAGTCGCTTCTAGTTTTATGCAGATCGGTTTTGTACGTATTGGATTATGCAACATGAAGTACGTCCATTTAGATAGTCACTTGTTTCCCAGAGCCATTATGATACCTCTGAGTGTTTACTCATGTCAGTGTCCAACCAGCTTTGCCTTGAAGCGAACACAGCGCCCCTGACAGAATTAGTTGAATCACTGTTGCAAACAATTGTTAGCATCAATCGTTTCCCTTTGTTCTCTGTTTAGTTTATAGTTACGGTCTGAAACAATGCACAATGGAACGACAGAATTGAGACAGGCATTCCACTAAGTCAAAGGTAGCAATTAAATACGTTACTCTTCACGGATGATGAAATTGTAACAGAAGACAGTGAAGATAATTTACGCAATCCTGGTAAAATGTATAATCCGAAAATGTGCCAAGTTTCCGGATATAACTGAAATGCTTATTGATCATTATACCTACATTAAGAGGAGATACATCAGTTCAGTTATCAAGGAAGCATGTACATCAGACAAACACTTAAATAGTGAACTCGGTAAACCTGACAGAAGGTGCGGTACCTCGAGAAGAAGCGTAAAGACTAAATCCAGAGGAGGAAACGCAGCTGAAACATTGCAAAAGCAGGAGGAATTTTGAAGTAAATCTTTCATCATTAAGTAGAGAGACATATATAAAATAGAATTAATAGAGATGCGATGATTATGAGTAGCTAGAGATTACTAAGAATTGATAATATTAAGAAAGAAGACGTTAAAAACAGCTGAAAGTACAGTCAGCACAGAAAAAGACAGATGATCGCGGACAAAATTGGCTGAATAATTTTAACAGAATGATTGCTGAGAAAGCACTGAAGTATTATTATTATTATTATTATTATTATTATTATTATT